CATCACCAAAGGGCCGCACATAACATGCAGTGAATGTAATGCTACAGAAAGTTGTAAGACATTTACAGACATGCAACAAGATGATGTCAGAGAGTACAGACATGTTATAAATAATGGTCAAAGGCTGTAAACATGTTATAAGAGCTGTTGGAGACTGGGGACTTATGGATTGAAGAAACATTATATGAGACTACTAGAGATCAGCAAGGTCCATTATTAAAGATCATAGGAAAAAAATCCTCAAAAGTCAAAATGAATGGGTAGCACAGAAAAAAGGAAGATAGTTTGAAAAAATTAAAACAAACCAGGCTATCCAGGGACCAGCTACTGTATACTATCCACCCCAAAGCCCATGTCATGTCTGCACACACGTACATGAATGATGGGTTTGAAGCATTTTCTCTCCATCCCTCTGATTCATATCCATGTTAACCCCTCTTCACATCTTGAGAAAACTCTCACTCAGAGCCCTGCTTTCTATATGTGGTTACAGGTTAAGGCTCCATAGATACAACCAAACACCCAGAGCCCATAGGACATGGGGGTTCAGGTCACCTGTCATGTGTTCTGTTGGGGGGTTCTCCTGTTACTTCCAAGAGGGTGACCCCTTTCCTTAACCACTATCAGCTCCTAGGCAGATGAGATTTGCTCTTAATACTTAAAGACACAATTTCCCTAGGTATTGTCTCTAACTTCTTCTTTTTAAATACTGTAGTTGTAAATTGTCCACAGCAATGGAATAAGTACAGTTCCAATAATATTGTAAACAGCAATATCACAGTTGTACATGCAAATGACAAGCAGTCCTGTGCAAGAGTGGTTTTCTAACAAAGTCCAGCAAAATGGCAGGAGACAACATTACCATTACACTTTCTAAGCTTCTTGGTTCCAATTCCAGGGCCCCAGTCATTAGCTCCAGTTTCGGTCTCTCAACCAACAGGGAGAACCCGCACATAGGCCTTCATCTACATCCAGTGTTCTCTTCTGCAATAAAAAGCATCAATCAATCCCCATGGGTAGTCCAAAATGGCAGACAACGCGATGACATCAGAAGGAAGGCTCCATGTGGATTGATTGATGCTTTTTATCTTCAGCGTTTGTAAGTGCAATTCTGTCTGTCTAGATAAACTAGTTGGTTTTACTGCACTATGAGAGGCACTTCTTTATTTTGCTTGAGCTAATCTTGATCCCCACATCGGGACGACTTGATGATATCTGAGCGGAGCATTGGGTCCCAGATAAAGCCCATGAGTATGGATGGAATAATATTCACACTGAGCACGTCATGACCCCCTATAGTGAAGGGGTCTGACAATCTGGTAAGCCTCTGATTTGATAATACGGTGGTGGTCATTCACATTGGTGGTTTTGTTGGAATGAAGAATTTTTCACTATTGATTTCAGGAATTAGGGGACTGATTTATTCCTCTGTCTGTGATTGGTTTCACTCATGTGGATTTTGAGCACTTTACTGTTTATTATATGGACTGTCTGTGCTTGATTTCACTTATGAGGAGTTTTGAGCACTTTATTGTTCACTTATTATTTAAGGTATTTCTAATTTATTTGTTTACAATTGTTTGGTTACACTTAGCACAACACTAAATTATTTTGTATAAGCCATTATTTAGTCTGACCTGCAGTAACCTGACCTAATTATAGACTCACAAAGTTACCATGAGTTATACACAATAAATTTACCTACAGTACTCTGGTAGCACACTAGAGGGTGCTACATCTATTTTGTTTTTTTCTTTAGGCCAATTCACTTGATTTTCACCTGGTAATTTTGCACACAACATACTTCCCATCAAAAGGTGACTACGCACATGAGTGAGAGACAGGGATAGAATGATGTCACCTTGTAACAGGAAATATCTGAAGAAAAACCTTTCTAGAAAGATCCCCATGTATTATATTAATTAAAACTGCAGATTAAAAAAAAAAATTAAATAACATTAGAAACGACATTAACAGTTTCAAGCTCATATGATACAAAGTTATCCTCCATGATACAAAATTAGATTAGTCACATGTCATCTACGAAAAGAGAATTTGAAATGGATAGTTGGACTTTAAAGACACCACAGAGAATATACAGTCATGGCCGAAATTGTTGGCACCCTTGATATTTTTCCTGAAAATCAAGTATTTCACACAAAAAAGGTATTGCATTAACACATGTTTTGCTATACACATGTTTATTCCCTTTGTATGTATTGGAACAAATATAAAACAGAGGCAGAAAAGCAAATATGACATAATGTCACACAAAACCCCAAAAATGGGCTGGACAAAAGTATTGGCACCCTTAACTTAATATTTGGTTGCACACCCTTTGGAAAACATAACTGAAATCAGTCGCTTCCTATAACCATCAATAAGCTTCTGACACCTCTCACCCGGAATTTTGGACCACTCTTCCTTTGCAAACAGCTCCAGGTCTCTCTTATTGGAAGGACACCTTTTCCCAACAGCAATTTTAAGATCTCTCCACAGGTGTTCAATGGGATTTAGATCTGGGCTCATTGCTGGCCACTTCAGAACTCTCCAGCGCTTCTTTGCCATCCATTTCTGAGTGCTTTTTGACGTATGTTTGGGGTCATTGTCCTGCTGGAAGACCCAGGATCTTGGACGCAAACCCAGCTTTCTGACACTGGGCCCTACAGTGCGACCCAAAATCCTTTGGTAATCCTCAGATTTCATGATGCCTTGCACACAGTCAAGGCACCCAGTGCCAGAGGCAGCAAAACAACCCCAAAACATCATTGAACCTCCACCATATTTTACCGTAGGTACTGTGTTTTGTTCTTTGTAGGCCTCATTCCGTTTTCGGTAAACAGTAGAATGATGTGCTTTACCGAAAAGCTCTATCTTGGTCTCATCTGTCCACAAGACGTTTTCCCAGAAGGCTTTTGGCTTACTCAAGTACATTTTGGCAAACTGTAGTCTTGCTTTTTTTATGTCTCTGTGTCAGCAGTGGGGTCCTCCTGGGTCTCCTGCCATAGCGTTTCATTTCATTTAAATGTCGACGGATAGTTCGCGCTGACACTGATGCTCCCTGAGCCTGCAGGACAGCTTGAATGTCTTTGGAACATGTTTGGGGCTGCTTATCCACCATCCGGACTATTCTGCGTTGCAATCTTTCATCAATTTTCCTCATCCGTCCACGACCAGGGAGATTAGCTACAGTGCCATGGGTTGCAAACTTCTTGATAATGTTGCGCACTGTGGACAAAGGCAAATCTAGTTCTCTGGAGATGGACTTGTAACCTTGAGATTGTTGATATTTTGCCACAATTTTGGTTCTCAGGTCCTCAGACAGTTCTCGTCTCCTCTTTCTGTTGTCCATGCTTAGTGTGGCACAGACAGACACACAATGCAAAGGTTAAGTGAACGTCTCTCCTTTTTATCTGCTTTCAGGTGTGATTTCTATATTGCCCACACCTGTTACTTGCCCCAGGTGAGTTTACAGGAGCATCACATGCTTGTAACATTCTTATTTATCCGCAGTTGTGAAAGGGTGCCAATACTTTTGTCCAGCCCATTTTTGGAGGTTTGTGTGACATTATGTCGAATTTGCTTTCTTTCCTCCCTTTTTTTGTTTTGTCCCAATACACACAAAGGGAATAAACATGTGTATAGCAAAACATGTGTTAATGCAATACGTTTCGTGAGAAATACATGATTTCCTGGAGAAATATCAAGGGTGCCAACAATTTCGGCCATGACTGTATTTCAAGTAAAAACATTTCACTTTTATTATTGCCTACATACAATAGTCAACATAATACTATTATAAAACACCTACAATATAAGGAATATCCGAAGTGGTAAATTTCACAGAGTTTAGGGAATGACATTGGACAAGAATGGAATGGGATGTAGAATTGTCAGAGAAGAGTGCAGTATAGTACAGTCGCGCAGTAAGCTGTGTACCACTAGGGGGACAGCTCCATTCTTTGTCATCTTGAAGAAACAGAAAACCTTGGAAAATTTTGCCTGAACCCTGACTTGGTTTTAAAATGTTAATCCAACTTTTTGCAAAAAGTGTCAAATGCAGCAACATCAATTTCATGATCAGAGTGCATTTACTAATTTTTGCAATGAAGTCTGCAGAGCATTGCACCCATGATCAGTGCACCACGGGCATAATGTGCAGGCAATGTTTTTTCCCCAGCCTCAGGTCTGTACGGAGTTACAGACCGGGAGGAAGAAGAAGGAGGAGCAGATGTGATGTGTAATTGTTCACTAGGATTGCTCCTGGACCTAAATGACATGCCGGTGAGTGGCACAGCGCACAAAATTAGATATGCTGCAGGAAGAAGCACCTTGAGACCCACATAAAGGTGGTGGTGGTGGTGGTGGGGGGGGGGGGGGGGGGGGGGGGGGGGGGGGGGGGGGGGGGAGTGCTTAGGGTTTGGGTGATGGCGTGTGTGCCTCTGCTTCATGGTAGACTGGCCATACACTCTTCCATTTCACCTGTGGGGTGAACAAGAGAAATCTATTGAATTCCCCACTCACACTAAACAGAGGATGCTTGGCGCCTTTTATGAATCACAACAACAGCCAGGACTGGCTGGGGAGGTGGAGGTGCTGCTGTCCTTGGACTCCACTCTGATGTGTGACTTCCATCAAATCATCTACTATACAGAGAGGTGAGCAAATGAAAAGCATTACAGGAGACTTTTATATTCCCAATGATGACTATGAATGATCATTACTAGGGAGTTGTGTCCGCAGTTTCTGACCATCTCCTGTATCCTGTCCGCAGTCACTGACCATCTCCTGTATCCTGTCCGCAGTCTCTGACCATCTCCTGTATCCTGTCCACAGTCACTGACCATCTCCTGTATCCTGTCCACAGTCTCTGACCATCTCCTGTATCCTGTCCATAGTCTCTGACCATCTCCTGTATCCTGTCCGCAGTCACTGACCATCTCCTGTATCCTGTCCACAGTCTCTGACCATCTCCTATATCCTGTCCATAGTCTCTGACCATCTCCTGTATCCTGTCCGCAGTCACTGACCATCTCCTGTATCCTGTCCACAGTCTCTGACCATCTCTTGTATCCTGTCCACAGTCTCTGACCATCTCTTGTATCCTGTCCGCAGTCTCTGACCATCTTTTGTATCCTGTCCGAAGTCCCTGACCATCTCCTGTATCCTGTCCTCAGTCTCTGACCATCTTTTGTATCCTGTCCACAGTCACTGACCATCTCCTGTATTCTGTTCGCAGTCACTGACCATCTCCTGTATCCTGTCCGCAGTCACTGACCATCTCATGTATCCTGTCCGCAGTCACTGACTATCTCCTGTATCCTGTCTGCAGTCTCTGACCATCTCCTGTATCCTGTCTGAATTCACTGACCATCTCCTGTATTCTGTTCGTAGTCTCTGACCATCTCCTATATCCTTTCCTCAGTCACTGACCATCTCCTGTATCCTGTCCACAGTCTCTGACCATCTCTTGTATCCTGTCCTTAGTCTCTGACCATCTCCTGTATCCTGTCCGAAGTCTCTGACCATCTCCAGTATCCTATCCGCAGTCTCTGACCATCTCCTGTATCCTGTCCCCAGTCTCTGACCATCTCCTGTATCTTGTTCGCAGTCACTGACCATGTCATGTATCCTGTCCGCAGTCTCTGACCATCTACTGTATCATGTTTGTAGTCTCTGACCAACTCCTGTCTCATGCCAGCAGTCTCTGACCATCTCCTGTATCCTGTCCGCAGTCACTGACCATGTCCTGTATCCTGTCCGCAGTCTCTGACCATCTACTGTATCATGTCCACAGTCTCTGACCAATTCTTGAGGTGGAACTCTAATTGGAATAGTTGAAGCCTAAAGAGGAAGGAGTGGAGTTTACAGATGAAGGGGTGGGACAAATTTAGATAGGGGGGCACCTGATTGTAGTCTTGCCTAGGGCAGCACAAAACCAATATACACCACTGGAACCCTATTGTTCCTCCAGAGGTTTCTAGGGGTTCTTTAAGCAATGAGCAATTTCTGCCTCTCAGATAAGTTCCCACTGACACCAATTGATCTTCCTAGCTATCTGTAAGGGAGTAATTCTTCCTGTAGACCACAAGTATAGGGAGCATTCTTCCCACTGACCATCACGCTAATTTATCATGAGTTATAGTCATTTTTAGCAGGGGTTCCCTGAGACTGGAAAGGTATTTCAAGGGTTCCTCTGCGTTGAAAAGGTTGAGAAAGTCTGGTCTCAAAGGTATGAGCATACCCAGATCCAGGGCACCACTCCTAAACCTCCACCTCCTGGCATTCACGGACCATTACAACTCGTCTCTGCACCAACACAGAAATATGAAGGGATGACAGTCACACTTTGTTGTAAACTTGGTGCTCTATTCCATAGCCCATAAAAAGCTGCATAGCTATGATCTCCACCCAGAAATCCACACTCCCTATACACATCTCACCCTTGGCGGGCTTGCTCACAAGGATAGAGTAGGTCCCATTGAGGCGGTGGGGTAGTTTACAATGGAGTGCAGCTCTCCTCTATTTCTCTGACCTAAAAAGGTGGAGTGTGCCTTTACTGGGATACAAACTCTGTACTCCTATTCAGGGGCAGACTGACAACTCATGGGGCCTCCGGGCAATAGGGGATCATGGGGCCCCTGTGTCCTTTCCCAAACTCAAAAAAGCGTATGAAAAAGGTACCAGGGGCATCTCATGGGGCCCCCTACTGACCTCGGGCCCTCGGGCAGTGCCCGAGTTTCCAAATGGTCAGTCCACCCCTGCTCCTATTGCTTTTAGTACAAAGTGCAACAAAATACAGTATATTCTAAGCACTTCTGAATACGGTTAGAAATAAATGATGGATCTGCATAAACTGAAGTTAAAATAACACATTTGCTAGGAGGTAGAGATTCTTCTGATATATCTCTTTTGCCAAAAAACAAATGTCCAGGGATTTTAAAACCCCGCTGTTGTCCACTTTTTTCTGCAGCTTTTCTGGGACAGATCAGAGCGATTCTCTGTGCAGGCCAATCAAAATCACACTGATCCATTCCAGAAGCCCTGCAGAAAGAAGGGGAAGAAGAGCATTGATTTCAAATCCCAGGATCGCTACTTACCTCTGGGGGGGGGCAGGATGGAGGGGAGAGGGGTGGATGTGGTTGTGGTGGTCAGTGGTGGCAGAGGGTGGTGGCAGGGGTTGGCTAGGACAGCACAAGCACTAAATACACCGCTGGATTTCTGGGGAGGGGGGAGATTTAGCCTTGCTTTGTAGAGGTCTCCTCTTACTTCCTGCTCTCTCTGTGGGACACGAAGTGAAGGGAAATCTCCCAGATCTCATTCTAACAAAGGTTTGAAACATTTCCTATTCTATCCAAAGAGAAAAAAAATCTCTTTACATACACTTTAAAGTAATTTCGAAAGTGATTTTAATCTGCATCTTAAAATAATAATTGGTGATTCTGCCATGAAGGTCCTCATTATATTATATGAGAACAATGCTTTGTCTTACCCTTACATATACACAGTGAACTGATAAGCCTCAGGTGATGCACAGAGATAAATATCCTCCTGCATAAGTTGTACCTTTTTATCTGCAGCCCTCTCTTCTCTACAGCCTCATAAAGCACACATTTTACAGAGCATTTCTGAGCCCTAGCATGCAGGGGGTGGGGATCTGACCTCACACACTTCAGAGCGCAGAGGAGAGAGCTGAGTGTAATCTGAGACCTGAGTGTAAGGAAAGGACACACCCATCTTTACACAGTATCATAGGGAAACATGCACAGCTGGGGCTGTCAATCATCTGCTGTGTGCTGGAGAGGGAGTGGGGCTGTCCCCTGGGCTTCTGTGGTGCTGGGAGGGTTGGGATTACCTGTCACAAGTGACTAATGCAGATAGAGAGATGGGATAGCAGGTAGGAACCACACTAGGTGCTTTTGATAGAGGCTAGTACACACTATACAGGGATAAGCTTTGTTCATTTTTTATTTCAGAGGTTTACAAACCACTGTTCCGCTGTTGTCACCATCAGGAAACATCATGTATTGCATGAATACAGGAATTAGCTGAAAAGAGACCACATAAAATCAGCAAACGCCAAAAAAAAGGAGGAAAAGAATGTGATAAAAAAGGGCAATTGTTTATGATACATGAGGTTTTAGCAAACACACAAAGAATGTCTTCCAATTACAGTTTACATCTAGTTTGACTGAAAGAGTTAAATGTTAAAAAAAAAAAAAAAAAAAAAAAGCGCACACAATTGTTACATGGTTCTGCTTAACAGCCTTGATGTTAAACACCCGATAAAAATATACAATGTGTATATAAATGTCTTGCATCTGCCTGTTTTGCTCTAGGCGTGCCAAGCTGACAGCCATAGTGTAGTCCTGACTGTTCACACACTGTGATATATTATGTCTAGTGTGGAGAACTAGACATGTTATGGGCCACCAGGGTACCACAGGCTGTTAAAGTCTGTCACTGGTTATAAGGAGCGCGCCACAAAGAGCCTTCATCTGCTCGGCCAGATATCGCGTCTCTCATTATCGGGTGGTGGAGCTGTGTACCATGGCGGGGCATTGGTTAATAAAACACTGGATACATAGGAGATTGTATTACAAGTCACCTTTTCATTTATCCTGCCGGAGATTTACTTTCTGTGCAATCCCCAGTTTACGTTTAAAGTCACCCTGTCACCACATATGACATTACATATACATTACATATACAATACATATACAATACATATACAGTACATATACAATACATATATATTACATATACAGTACATATACATTACATATACAGTACATATACATTACATATACATTACATATACAGTACATATACAATACATATACATTACATATACAGTACATATCCAATACATATCCAATACATATACAATACATATACATTACATGTACAGAACATATACAGTACATATACATTGCTATACATTACATATACATTACATATACATTACATATACAGAACATATACATTACATATACAGTACATATACAATACATATACATTACATATACAGTACATATACATTGCTATACATTACATATACAGTACATATACATTACATATACAGTACATATAGATTACATATACATTACATATACAGTACATATAGATTACATATACATTACATATACAGTACATATACATTGCTATACATTACATATACAGTACATATACATTACATATACAGAACATATACAGTACATATACATTACATATACATTACATATACAGAACATATACAATACATATATATTACATATACAGTACATATACATTGCTATACATTACATATAAATTACATATACAGTACATATACATTACATATGCATTACATATACAGTACATATACATTGATATACATTACATATGCAGTACATATACAGTACATATACATTGATATACATTACATATACAATACATATACAGTACATATACATTGATATACATTACATATACATTACATATACAGTACATGGCATACTTCTCTTTAAAGTCATAATAAACCCTTTAGGCTGATAATCATACCCCAGTAAACTATTTGTTAACCACTTCCAGTCACTTTTACCCCCTTCCTGTCCAGGCCAATTTTCAGCTTTCAGCACTATCACACTTTGAATGACAGTTGCGCGGTCATGCAACGCTTTACCCATATGAAGCTTTTAGCATTTTTTTGATAAAACTTTATTTTGGTGGTATTTATTCACCACTGGGATTTTTATTTTTTTTTGCTATATAAATGAAAAAGTGCAAACATTTTGAATAAAAGTGTTTTTCTTAAACAATTTTGCAAATAAATAATATTTCTTCATAAATCTTGGCTAAAATTTATTCAGTTATCTTTTTAGTAAAAAAAAACAACCCAAATTATAGTGAAGGGGTCTGACCAGAGGTATCACCCGGTGCGGTAATACTTAGTGACATCCCCTCTGACGATCCCCGCAGAATGGATTGGATCTGCGGATTGAGCATAATGGATCGGACTCCGATCCATCATGCTCAATCCGCAGATCCGATGCATCCTGCGGGGATTGTCAGCTTTCTTTACAACTTTCCTCTTCTTGGAGCGGGTCCAGTTTCACCCCTTATAGGTTGCATGCCGACGAGGATCGTCGGCTCGTAACCTATATGGTGTGACACCGGACCCGCTCCAAGAAAAGGTAAGTTGTAAAGGAAGCCAACAATCCCCACAGGATGGATCTGATTGTGAGCTTGCTTTACAACTTACCTTTTCTTGGAGCGGGTCCAGTGTCACCCGTGCGGTCAGTGTCACCCGGTGCGGACCGCACCCCCCGCACCTGCCTCGGGACGCCACTGGGTCTGAC